GTGTGTGAAGAACACTGAGTGCATCCGCGCATCTGCCTGATCTAATCACATACATTGGAGAGAGAAGGAGCATTCACGCAACACTTATTCGGACAATTAAGTTATCAGTTTATTGTCCTGTTTTCTTTAAACACATGAGCATAAAACTGCACTTTTCAGATTGTATAAAAAACAGTGTGATGATCACATTTGATTCACAGTCACTTTTGGGTAGTGGTGTGAGATAATCCATACTGATGTGAACAGACCATCCATCAGAATTCAGTCTCACACACAAAATCCTCAGTTCTTCTTGCCAATCATGCAATCGGAGTGTTTGTGGCAAGTCGACTCGTAACCCGCATGGAGGACCTGATTTGGTGTGTGCCTTTTGATTGGAGTTAACAGATTGTCAAACGTATCTCTCTTCGTTGCTGTCGGGCTAACAATTAACTGACTGACTTTTAGACAGGCGACTTCTGAAAAAAAACATGAATTGACGATTCGGTTCAGTCCTGGCACGGCCTCGTTGACACAGCTGTAACACACACATCCGATGACCTGGGTTCGCAGTTCAAAACCCGTACGGGGCTGTGGATGTGCACTACTGATGACCTCTAATAAGGGAGAAACTCGAGCCTGCTTCTTCCGAACTTATGGTTGACCAGGAGATCTGAGAATTGTATGTTATGATGAAGCCTGAACGATGGACACCTCAAATAAAAAACAGCGGATGGACGCATTGGAAAGCCAAAAGGTCTCGTCAGGAGTGCGCGGGGTCCGTCAACCCGACTGAAGATCGATCCCGAAATCATACAAGGATAAACATGGGTATACCTCTCTTTCGCTAGCCAATCGAATTGTTTCAGTTTGTATGTACATCATACAGCACAACCTGTATTAACAGACCTCGTTCATGTTTGTGCTGCTTACTGCTCATGACAAAATGCATCACATACAGGTGTATCAAGAACTCTCTTATACCAGATAGTTAATCCAAATTTTGCAGACAACCAATAGTTACAAGTTATAGTCTATTAGCGTAGAGTTCTGCGTAGCGTGAACCCAGCCTTGGTGTATACGATCACAGTCTCCCTCCGAACCCTGGGCGCGCACGCTTGCATCTATGCGTTGACTTCAACGTAGGTAGCAGTAGTGACATGTTATAGAGACAGCCTGGTTGACGTGGCTGATACAACCAATCAATGCTGCACCAGAGCACCTATGCAGAAATCCACTCAAATGATCAGTAATTTTTGAGCACAGATTTTCTGCAGCGGTAAAAATTAGAATTCGACTTGGGTTGTTTGATAATCTGGCTGTTAGGTGGACGAGAATTCCTTATGCAACTGCATATATACCCTGGATAAGTTTAATACGAGTGCACGTAATGAATGCGAATTCATGTCACGTCCCTTAATTGGCATGAACAGTAAGAAATAGAAGCTTTCATTGCTGTATTTGTTATCCATCCTTGCGGTAGGTCGGGGTTAGGGCTATCTTTTCCTAACCCCAAAGTTGACCTTCTGAGTCCCTCCTTCAGGACCGAAACAGTATACACGACTGATGAGTCCCAACAATGACGAAACCGGTTTTCGGTGCTTTCTGTTGACCATACTTTATCTCAGAAGCGTCACATTTAATCGTTTCCATGAAATCCTTTTATTTCTTCACTATAAAAATCAAAAAATAATCTTAAGCTTCCTTTGTATGAGTTGCATCCATCTATACGTCAGCATGAATTTTCCAACTAAAGATATATATATACATACATATATATATATATATATATATATAGAGAGAGAGAGAGAGAGAGAGAGAGAGAGAGAGTTTGTGTGTGTGTGAGAGAGAGAGTTGCGTACTGCCCAAGTCAAGTTCAGTCAATAGTGCATTTTATTCACCCAATGTGAACAGGATTTTCAGGTAAAAGACAGTTATCACTTTTGCCTTGGCATACACACTGTTAATAATGAATTTAAAGATAAGAAAAATAGTGACTTTGACGGTATTGAGAACGCGCAGCAGTTGGAGAATATCCCAAAAAGACAATTTACATTAGGCTTTGTATAAGTTCGTTTGATTTTCGTTCCCTGGAAACCAACAAACGTGAAAGGTAAGGTACAATGGAGTTTTGAAAAGCAGTAGTACGAGTATATAAAGGTTTAAATTTATTTCGGGTGGCAGAAGTTGCAATGGTGCGAGATAGAACTGAGTGTAACGGATGTGATGCATCGGACAAGATAGAGCTACACAAACAGTCACGCCTTAATGTATTGGTTGACAATGGAGTCAACCAGCTCATCGTAAGATACAGCTCCACATCTAGAGATGCTTTTCGGAAAGTGTGTAATCAACATGAAGTCCTTAGACAGTAGACCGGGGAAAATAACGGGAGAGCAGTAGGTCCAATGGCATAAAACGCACAAGAAAAAAAAATTTAGAAATGATGCACAATGGCACCCTCAGAAAAAAGAAGGCGTGAAATATAAAGAGTCAACTTTCTGACTTTACGCAATGTTTGTTGTACGTGGTGGGACCATTTGAGGTCAGCAGACAGAAAACATCCAGGATATGTGAAGTGTTGTGACCTTTCAAATTTTGAATTAAGTTTGTGTTGTCTAAAAAACAAACGAACAATTTTGTGTTTTTAGTCCATGGTGAATGAAACAAAATGCATCAGACAAGCAATCGCATCTAAAGTAGAGCGACGCTTACAATAAGCAAACTGATTGGAATCACGAAAATCAAGATTAGAGGGTAGATGTTTAATAATAATTCGCTCAAAAGTCTTTAGTAATACTGAAGATGAAGCAACAGGCCGAAACATACCCTTTTCTTCCGTAGGTACTGGAGTGATACGAACATCACGCCGTGTTAACTGGTCTTCCTTCTGACAAACAAGTATTAAGGATGAATGACACTGTTTGTGCGAGATGGCTTGCACATGTCTTAAGACCACTGGGGATAACCTATCAGGACCAGAGGATTTATTTGTGTTAACAGCATTTACCGCCTTTAAAACTTGCTCTGGTGTGACATTCACAGGAAGGTGGAAATTAAGTGACGTTGTTTTTGGACTCGGTAAAGCTTGCAAAACATTGTTCACGGAAGCAAAAGATTTGTTGGGCTCATTGATCTCACAGGAGACTGCAGTAGGTAAAGTTGCACGATCACAGAGCAACTTCAGTAGGTTCCAAAGCTGACGGCAGGATGTCTGCACGGTGTCGACATACCACTGATTGAGATGGCCTGTCTCGCTACTGATATAAAAGTTGACAGACTTGACCGTCAGTTTATATCTNGTGATACGCCGTTTCTTTCTGCCGCACAATTCATAACAATAGTTGAGATAATCAGTAAGGTTCTCATAGAAGACTGAAATATCAGGATTGAAAAGTAGTTTTAATTCCGTACCGGCAACAATGGATTTCAATTCCTTAATGGAATTGAAATTGGTCAGCTGAGTTTGTCGTATACGTACCTCACGTGAAAACTGTTCTTTGTGAGGATTTTTGCCTACATCTACCGTATAATGTAGGTAAAACTTTATTTAGACAGTGATCAGAATTGCCTATTGATGCTCGTTTTGAATGCACAAAAAAGATGGTATGATAACGAAAAATGGCATCATTTCGAGTGGAAAAACGAACAGTGTTCTGAAGGGACATCCGATCTGTTGAAATCACCAGCAACGATGAATACCGATGTGACAGATTTCTTCAATATAATTGCTCTTCAGGTGCGACCTTCCAGCCAGCGCGCTGTTTTCTCCGCTTACCAATGGAATTTCTGTTGAGTCTTTTAACCTTATTTCTCACAAAACGTGAAAAGGCACGTAAGGACGATTCGTTGATATATACCACGGATACTCACATGGAAATTGAACTGTGTGCCTTGTACGTAATCGTTGACTTCATTGTAATTGATACAAAAGTGTGTCCAGAGGTAATGTACGATGAAAAAAACAAAGCTCCAGCGATGAAAAAATGAAAGCCAATTTCAAAGGCTCCGCCTCAAGCTTCACGATTTTTTTCAGTTCTCCGATCGCTCTGACGTCGTCTCTGATAGTGATCTAAGTGCTTGGATTGACTGGAAGAGAACAACTTCCCTGAACTTCAGACTGCCTCCAGTGTTATCCGTTCGAAAAATCTGTCATCTGTCATTTTTAGTGTGCCTCTTACCATGAACATCCCTGATCTCTCTTCCGTCTCTCCCTCCTGTCCCAATTACCTGTTGAATTCTGTTTTCGTCTCGCCAGTCTGATCGTGATGATAAAGTAAAACAAATGCAACTCATGGAGCTGTCATTTCGACGAGGTGGTTAACTCCCCGCGCGTGTCTCCTGTGTACCACTAACTTCGCTAATACCACTCACTCAGTGTGCTGCAGGTGATTCTGGTAACTTTTCCTCACGTTCACCATTAGCTACACACAGTCAAGTGTGTGTACTAACAACACCTGTATGAACGTATATTGCCTTTTTCAACACTGTTCATGTTCACTGTTTGTCGTTTTGTTTGCCAAGGTGACATCCGTTTCCGATTTGTTCCTGCGACTTGTCTGTCCGTTTATAACTGTACACGTGTGTTGGTGTGTGCGACAATTTCGGTATCGCGTACACTCTATCTAACCCCTGCGTTGATTTATATCCCTCATCCACTTCTAGGTATTTCGATCTATCTGATCTTCTGGTATTTTTACTTCTACCTTATACTTTTGTAACAAATAATGTTGTTTGTTTGCCTATTACAGTAAAATCTGAGTCTTGAATAATACTGTTGTGAGGTGCTACTCACATTTGTGAGTAGTGTGTAAAATGGTGCGGTTGATGGTTTACTCGAACGAACAAGAACCAGCTAGACTATCAAGGGAAAATTGCTGTCTCAAGGAATAATTACTGACTGTTCCTCACATTACCCGGTCTGCTGCCGGGAACCGCAGTGATATGTTTCAAAAAGGATTTCTGTTAGATGTATGCTAAATTTGTGATATCCTAACTGTAATCTGCAATACACAACTCCCCTAGACCGAGCACCGCCTTGTGGAATGATAGCAATACCATTTGCTTGTAATTTATTAGCATTCACAATCTATCTGTACCGATTTGGAATCCTGACCACTGTGTTCAGAACGTGTGCACAGTATTCCATTTCACAAAACTTCGATTTCACTAATGTGACACCAAAAGAAGATTTAAATCATACCTGTTGCAAAAAGGAGGCTTAGACCTTCTATGTATCTACTGGACACTGTCCTGACAGTACCCCTACTCAGGCCACTTCATGTTTTTAAACTTTTGTCAAAACGACCTTATCGACTGTCAAGTTTTTCAAATTGAGGGACCCAAAAGACACCGGCATATAAAGTACGTAAAGTACACATTTTTCTTCCTGATTATTTTGAATAGAAAACAAACTATTTTGCACCTGAACGGTAAAACTGGTCTTAAAACCCTCTTGAACCATGATGATTTGTGCAAACTAATCTGGTCACTGCTGGTGTCTTTCGTCCGGATTTTTTAATTGACGGATTTGTAGTGCGACCGACTGTACACCAAATTACGGAAGATATCCGACATGAACCGGACGTCAAGTGCCCCTCACAGTCTGTTCCAGCGTTCACATTTTTACTCCACAACAACGCATTATGAAATTTGTTTCTCACAGTTGGTTTCTATTGCTTCCTTCCGCACGAGAACTTTAACTTTTCGCTTTCGATCGGTTTGCACGTTATTGCGCTCGTAGATCCTCGTCACCTTTGCACTTTAACGTGAATTTACGTTGTCGCGTACCGGTACGCCCTCTGTCTCACGGTATTCCAATACAATCACGAATTTTTTGGTTTAATTTAGTTTCACGCGAGCTACGGTTTCTACTTAGTGTTTCATTTCGATTGGTCGTAGGCCACGTGCCTGAGGTACAGCATCAAACTCCTTCGTATTCCCATGAAGTCGTTGGTGGCAAACTGTTAGATCTAGAGTATGCAGACGATATTGTGCTACCAAAAGAAGATCCAGGTAAGTTACAAGCTTTTCTGGATAGTTTGAGTTCTAGTGTAGCGATGTTCGGTATGCGCTTTGCACCTTCAAAGTGTAGAGAAAATAGACAAGTTTTGCTATCTGGGTAGCTATATCTCACCTGGCGGACGCATCACAAATAAAATATCGGTAAGCACACAGAAAGCTCGGTTGGCATTTGCCAACTTGAGACGGCTATGGCCCCTTCGCGACATCGGATATCTGTGAAAGGGTAAAGTGTGTTTTGCAGCAGTTTGGTTAGTTCTGCTTTACAGTGCAGAGCCTTGGCCATTCGGGAACAGGATAAAAATAGATTATCGGTGTTCGAACACCACTGTTTACGTCGCATTGCACGAATCTAGTGGGGCCACCGGACGAGCAATGCTGAATTTAGGCGTAGGGTTTTAGGTATCTGCGGTCGCCCTCTGGAGCAAGTGGTGGACCTCTACAGATTACGCTGGTTGGGGGATGTGTTATGCATGTCACCATATAGGTTACCATGGCTAGCGATGTTTGCCGAGGAAGGTAGTGGTTGGAAAAAATGTTGGGCGGTGAAACTAAGACATGAGGGTATGAAAACCCTGACTAGGAGACTGACTCACATAGGTCCCGTTAAGCTCACTGGCTGGGGACCCAGAGGTCATGGTCACCGATAGTTAGAAATATTGACGAAAATGGCTGGGTGTCGCAAATACTAGCGCTCATGCATCTACTAATTATCCTTGTGACTTCAGTTTATGAAAATGTGCTATCTTCCGCTTGAATTTCCTCTCAGTATTGTAATCGTTATTCTGCTGTTTTATCCAAATGGGCAACCAAAACCCGTGCACGAAAGTGCACGTATATAGTTGTAAGAACTGAACTGAACTGAATGTATATATATATATATATACATATATATATATATATATATATATGTATATATATATATATATACATTCAGTTCAGTTCAGTTCTTACAACTATATACG